ACAAGTATCTAAAGCTCATCTCTCCTATTAATTAAAATTGAAAATTTTATTTATATATAATAACTTTATATATTTTGCAACACTTTTTAAACTTTTTTTATAATATAATAAAAGAATATTAAAACGCGCGCGTGCGTTTTATCTGTATATATACACTTTCCACTAGATTGTGAATATTCTATTGTTTACTATCCCGGGTTCCGCGGGATAATTTTATACTTAGTTGGCATAATGCTATGAAAAACTAAATAATTTTCTAATGGAAAATGCACCTTTTTACATTTGTGGAAAACAATACCTATTATGAAGGAAAGGGAACAACTTATCAACAGAGTTGATGTTAAAATCTAAATTTAAACAAGAACAGCTTCTAAATTGTATTTGAAAAATCATGCAAAATACACTGGATATCTCACACAGCTATAAACATTTTAATGCCATTTAGAATATTGTGTTTAAGTGAAATATATTTCTCAACGTGAGTGGCTACAAAAACAAAGTATAAAAACAAATCAAACGCAGAATATGAAATCCTGCTGCAGATAGACAATAGACATAGACTTCAACAATTTGTGTGAAGAAAAAAAAAGCAAGTACATATCCCAATTACTAAATATAAACATGGGCAGGTGACACTTGGATCACAAATTAAAATTATCAATGAGCAAATTATATTAAAAAAATATATTAGAATGTGTAATAATAAATGCAATAATTTTTCATTTCCTACTATTAGCTCACGATCACTATATATTTATTTATTCAATTTTCAATCATTAATAAAATACATTTTAAAGCGCTCAATCGAGCTGAAATTTTACATACATGATTATTTTGGATGACAATACAATAATTTAATTGTAATTAATAAAAATTAATTGATTAAAACTAATTATTTAAAGAATTACAAATACACAGCCACGTTGGCGACTTAGCGACCATTTTGGCGACTTGTGTCAAAACGTGAAAAGGTTTTTTTCCCCCTCACATTTTAAAGCATTCAGTTGAACTGAAATTTTATATACACGATTTTTTTGGATGACAATACGATACTTTAATGATAATTAATAAAAATTAATGTTGTGATTCTGTCATATGTATATACATATTTATATTAATTGTAACTATTTAATAAAATATAGCTATAAAATAAAAATTTTCTTTGTTGATCTAAGTAGGAATTGACTTAAATTTCTTTTTATATTACTTGTTTTAAATTGCATTCATATAAAGTGCCTATAACATGTTGATCTACTTTGAATATTATTTTGAGATATATATATTTATCGAAGTATGTGTATAGAATGCAGAGTTCCACGAAAACACTTTCTAGTTCTAGGGGTTCCACGAAAGCACGTTCAAGTTCTAGGGGTTCCCTGAGTTGAAAAAGTTTGGTCTATAAGAAGAGTTTGAACCTTCAAACCTCTCACTTGTGTACGTCATTGACATAATATTCAACTTTATTTATTTATTTTATTATTAAAGACTAATGAGAAGAGTAATAAACTATTTATTTATTTAGAAGTTTTATTTTTCCCAAGATAGTAAATACCGCATAAGAAATTGCATGCATGAATATAAAATACTGTATATATATGCTGCACCATATCCTTAACTGGCATAGAGTACAGTAAAAGTAGCAATAGTATTATCCATTTTGTATTGTTTTTCCATTAATCTTGGTGTCAAAACGGATTATTATTATTTTTTCTATGGTTGCTTAATTTTATCGTTCTTTTGAGAATCAATATAATGATTAAATGTTTTCATTTTTATACGATTTCTTTTCTCTTTAATCCGAATTCCATTTTCACCCCTTCTGGTTGTGAAACATTTTCCCTTCGCAATAACATTATAAAAATATTAAATGCTTTTCAGTTCTCTTTCCTGCAACGCACCTTATCTCATTTCCCTAAAAATAGATTTCAGATTATAAGACGGGGGAAAAAAAATCATTTCCACCCGACAAACTAAGGTTGGGAATCCAAATCAATGGAAAAATGGAATCCTAAATAAATATACAACTAAAATGAAACGATTTATATTCCAAGAATCACCAGATTCCTGTTTGCTTTAAATTCTGCTATTCAGTACTTTGCACATTTATCTTTTCGAGTTTTACATTTTTTTGCTAAAGCTGTGGATTTTTCAAATAAGTTCTCTGCAACTGAGAACTGTTTGCATTAAATGGTAAATCGATGAGAGGTTTTTTTTCTGTGCAAAAGGCGACGAGTATAAATGAACTTAGGTTTGTAAAGGAAAAAGAAAAAACTTTTTTATTCTCGTGTCGAACTTCGTAAATTGCTTTATCTATTGAACAATGTCGCGTCTTTCTCGTTGACTTCAATTTAATTGAACTTTTACTCAATTGCGTACTTGTATAAGTGTACGCTTTTATTTTAAAGAGCCTTTTCTGGAAGAAAAAGTTTACCGTCAAGTAAAACTTATTCTGTGCCTGCAAAGAAGAAAATGAATTATTATCAATTGCAAAGTTTTAAAACAAGTCGCGTAATTCCTTAGTTTTTCGAGCGTTCTACGCGAATTAAACAACAGAAAATGATTTTTTAGATCATAAATTTTGAACAAATTTCAATAGGACTACTTAGGAATAATTGCATTTGAAGTTTCTGCGATCAAAGAGAGAAAATAGAAAAGTAGCACATGAGTGAAGTGTTTTTTATAAAGAAGTAGCAAAGATTCTGTAAAGCTTTAAGTTGTGGAGAAACTAGTGTGAAGTTAATATAAATATCCTTGTGTTTGCGATAAGATTAGTTTTCTTTTTCAGTTCCTACTATTAGTTCACTCTCTGTCTCTGTCTGTCTCTCTCTCTCTCTCTCTATATATATATATATATATATATAAAGGCAAATTACAGGTGAAGGTTGGCTAGCCCTAAAACTTGTTTAAACCTGCAATCTTGGTTCCTAAGGCCAGGAGTTTGTTATTGTACTACTGTGCCCTAATATTTCCTATCTTGAATAGTTATACTTAGGTTCTATAACTATTTGTATGTATATTTATGGATTATATATATATAGTTCAAATTTTTTCTCAATCGTTAATAAAATACTTTCTATTCATCCAATCAAGTTCAAATACATTTTTTAAGTAATAATTCTTTAATTAAATTTAAAAAAATGAATAAATAGTTACAAACAAAAATAAGCCCAACATCATAAACTGATGTTTTTAAAAAATGCTACACCATGAAGGAACCATCAGAATTAAATGAAATTTAATGCACACAAACGACTTGTATTAGTACAAATAAATGACGAAATTTTCAAAGCAAAAAAAAAAAAAAAAACAATATTAAGTATCCGAAATCAATGTTTGGTGTAGCCACTACGAGCTGCAATAAGTGTTGCTATACGACGTGGCATGGCGTCAAACAGATTTTGAATGTCTGCTTGTGGAAGAGAATTCCATATTGCTTGTATGCGCAGCAAAAGTTCGTCTTTTGAAACTGCAGGATGCGGATCACGAGCGAGACGCCAACCAACCAAATCCCACACGTGCTCAATAGGCGACATATAAGGTGAATAAACAGGCCAAGGAAGAAGTAGCATGTGTTGGGCTGAACAGAAGTCTCGAACAGTCTTTGCAACACGTGGGCGTGCATTATCCTGCTGAAAGATAGCTCCAGGGAT